GGCATCAAGTGACAGCCTTGACTAAGCAACTTGCCACCTCTCTCTGTAAACACCAAGAAGGACACCCTTCCTTTCCTCCAAAGATTGTATTGTTCTCATGTAACAGAGCATCTGTCTGAGGAAACACTTCAAGCCTGCTGCAAAATATCTATGTATTGATCTATCTTAGTGCTGAGGGAGAAGTGATCTGTCACTCCTGAACCACACAAAGCAAGGGAGGTCGTGCATTAGAGCTTATTTGGGTGGGGTGGGAAATGGGGGAAGAAAGAGTAATATATTCCATAAAAGAATAACATGGTTTGCAGGTCGCTAGCAAGGACTTGCCCTCCAGGTCTCAAAGCCCTTCTGAGAAATTTTATTATTGTAGGAAACTGAGGCAACCCAAGCTTGCTTGGCCTTTATCCAACCTGGGATCAAAAGCCATTTTTTTCTGACTCTGAGCACTGTGATTGGTATTTCAAACAGTAAATGTCAGCTGAATCCAGGAGTTTTCTTCATTTTTCGTGTCAGACTGGATAGGAATTTGAAGGAGAGGGATTCTCACTGAGAACCAGTGAAAAAGAACAATTCAGCAGTTGCAACACCTGTCCCAAGGTAACATAAAGGCAGATAAAATAGAGATTAATATCTAGGAGTCACAGTAAATCTAAAGATTTTATGATTGATCCTTATTAATATTCAGGCAGTGTATGAACACAACTTAGATATTTTCTCTCTAACAAACTGTTGCTGTTTCTTTTCATGTAGAACCCGCTATTGGCCTGTAACTTGTCTGATTGTCTCATTTAGCAGCTGGAACATTTAATCACCCCAAGCTGCAGAGGAAAATAATTGCATCCTACAGAAGCCATACATTCCATAAAAAATATACGCTTACTTATACTCACCTTGTCTCTTTAGCTTTGCAAAGCTACCAGCAATCTCTGGAAAAGTTACATTTCCACGTGAGTTAGTATTTTGTTGTGTTTTGCTTCATGTGTTAGAATAGCTTGTGCTGACACTGCTTATCACAATACCAGGTAACCGCTGCCACCTGCAGTTGCACATCTACAAGTCAGAACACTTTGGAGTGTCAGTGCCTCCACAGGGGGATAAAAGGACATCCTACGTGGGTAATTGATGTGCAGTAAAAAACAGCCATAATATTTTAGGAAATAGGTTTTATAAATGAGGAACACTGATACTTCTAGGAGTGTTGAGCCTGCTCTCTATTCTAAAAAGCGCAGTGAAATTAATCCTGTTTTCGGTTGTTTCCCGGTAAACTTTGCTGAATACCAGCGTGTCCACGTGCTCACAGCAGGAATTACGTTATGGGAATGCAGCAGAGCAGCCCCAAAATTGGTTCCCTAATGGCTCGAGACAGATCTTGCACAGTCCCTGCAGAGTTTGTGCTCAGTCCAACCAAAATCTCTTTGTGAGTATTGAGTTTGTATTTTTTACCGCTAAAAGCTGGTGCTTAAAGTCTGCAAGGTCTTGGTGTTTAGAGTGGGAGGCAGATTTGGACCCTCCAGAACACCTGACCTGGGTCTCAACAGGTCTGGATCTGAAACAGAAATCTGAATTTCACAAGAGCAGCCCTAAACTCCGGATTCAGCCCAGCCCGGCTCCAGAACCCAAGCAGAGCCCTGCACATCCCAACCTGGCGTTAATAACACACCTTGGGGACTTGGCTTCTGTTTCCACTTGGTGAGATTCAAATATTTTGTCCCAAAATGAGTCCCCCGTGTCCCATTTCAGCAACACCAAAAACTCCCTGGCTGCCTCAGTTCTGGTGCTCATGTTGTGAGCTCCACACGTTGCGGCAGCACGACTGGTGAGATGGCCCAGCCTCAGCCTGTACCTGCAGAGGTGAAAATGGCCTCTTTTTTTACTGCTGACTTTTATAGAACCAAAACTGAGGCCCAGACCAGCTGAAAGGACTCCAGCACAGGGGAATTACTGTTAAACAGCACTCACAGAGTACTTTGACTGGCTCACATGCCTCAAATAAGCTATTTTGGATTGTTTTAAGACTGTCAGTGTGCCAGAATCTGACAGACATAGTGGATTTTTAATGCAGTCTGATGGACATATTCTAAAGACCAAAGGTTCCCTATCAGGAGTTCTTTGCTGCAGCTGAGTAAAAGAACAGACCAAATGTGTCTCCCAGTTTCACACTTGGAAGTATTAAAATGTCTTTCCCTGGTCCAACCTGTAAAGTATAGGAGAAATTTAAAAGCAATTAAATAAACAAATAAACCAAAAACCCACTCACAGAAAACCAGAAAATCGCAAAGAACTGACAGAACCTTTTCCTTTGCTGGATTTTAAACAGAATCTCAAGAATATAAAGGTTTTTTTAAGATCTGTAGATGTGCTGATGCTGTCTATAAGTATATTTGGTGATTGTAGCAACTGCTCATCAATTTAGGAGTATAATTTTTTGCATATTTATTTTTAGAGTAATATCAGTCAAAAAAAGAAGAGAAAAAAGGACAATCTAGTGCTGGATATGAGCAAACAGGAAAGTCAAGGGTTAAGTTCTGCCTTACATATTGTAGATGCTGAAATGTCCTTTTAATACATCACAAAAGGAAAGAGTAGCTGAAAGCTGCAATATTTGGCCATGCAAAATAGGTCGTGGACTTGTAGCAAAGGCTTTTCAGTGGTCAGAGGGCCCCAGGCAGGCAAACCCCTGAGCCCCTGCAGTGCTCCAAGAACTCCTGTTCAGGACACACCCAGGACACCTGGGCTCTGTAACCAAAATGTACATTTCCACTGTGCTTACATGTTCCTTCAGGCACTTTGTTTTTGAGGAGAGAGTGTTTGGGATTTGTTTGTTTTTTTTTTTAAATGTGCTACAGGTGCTTTTGTTGCTCTTGCATTAGCTATATTCCTTCCTCATTTTTAATGCATAGATATTAATCTGTTTGTGTGTTTGTGCAGATGCATATACATGTAGTTTATATAATATACCCACATAGACAAGGACGGAAGTGACAGGGCAAGGGGGAATGGCTTCAAACTGACAGAGTAGTTTTAGGTTGGATATTAGGAAGAAATTCTTCCCTGGGAGGGTGGGGAGGCCCTGGCACAGGTTGCCCAGAGAAGCTGTGGCTGCCCCTGGATCCCTGGAAGTGTCCAAGGCCAGGCTGGACAGGGCTTGGAGCAACCTGGGCTGGTGGAAGGTGTCCCTGCCCATGGCAGGGGGTGGGACTGGATGAGTTTTAAGGTCCCTTCCAACCCAGACCATTCCTTGATTCTCTGATCTATCTGGGTACATTGTATAAATACGATTTTATATGAACACACACAACCCCATTACAACGTTGGGTCACGATCCTGTCCTGGCTCCAGCCCCATGTGAGCAGCACATGGAGCCAGGACTGAGGGTTCATACCATGTACATACTATAGACTACATTTTAGTGGTTTTATTTACAGCTACATGAGGTCAGGCTGTGCTGCCCTATCTACTTTTATGTGCAACCAGTAGTTAAATAATACAGCTTTAACCAACTTTGTATTTATTTCTGGAGAAAAGGAGCATCCTCAGACATAGTGTTATGCATTGTTGTCTCTTTTTACAATGAAAACTGATACATTAAAATTATATAGCTTGGCTGAGGAACTTCAAAATATACAGTACTAAATTATTTCCTGTTCTTGCTGAGCAGTGTTTTTCAGTATTAATATTTTTGTTACTTAATACAACTTGCTCTCTTTCTGTAGAAACATGAGCTTAACCTTGGAAGAGTTAATACCATTTTGTGAGTAATTTGTTCTCACTTTATCTGGAAGATAGCCATATTTGCACATGAGGAAATTCTGTCTTTCCTCAGTTATCTGAATGTTTCACCACAGTGCCTTCCTGCCATTGTACCAAAGGCCTACAAATATCTTGTCTACAGGGTGAACAACTCTAATGCATTTTCCATCAAAGTTACACCATGCAAAGTACATGGGGCTCGTTGGAACTCAAAAGTTCATCTCTTTTTGTGTGTCTGTGTGTGTGGTTTGTTTTTTTTTTACTTCCATTTTTCCATCCAAGCTTTGGCTGCGAATACAGGATGAGCTTCTATAAACTTCTGCATCAAATATACGTAGAATAAAAATCATCATTCATGATATGTAAACAGTCTGAGAGTGGACTGGGAGTGGACAGACATCAGGAAGATTTTTTATTTTTTTTTGTCAGTTATGAGTGTTGGAAGTCGAGTTTGCCAGGAGGGGAATTGCTTGTGAAGATACTTGCAATGAAATATGAAGTCCTGTTTTTGTTTTTCTCCATGAGAATGAGCAGAATGTAAGATCTGAGCAACAACAATGGAGTGAAAGTGTCTCATGTATGTGTTTTTATGGTAGAAAGAATGTAGAAGAGTCATGGTTTTTGCACTTGCTTTATTTGTATCCATGTAAATATGTATCACTTCCATGCTCCTTGTAGGAATACAGCATTTTCTGAATGTAGAATATTTCCCAAACCAGCACTATGTTATTCTCTATTGTATAAAAAGCTGCTGCTTGATAACATATCTAAACCAGTTCTCAGAGTAGCTAGCATGTTTTTAAAGTATATTTTGTAATCCATATCTTTACAAAAAAGTGACTATGCTTTTTGTCTGACCAAATATGCAACACTTTTTGGATTAAGGTTAGTATTTATAAAGGATCGATTTTCATTTTCTCAATGTCTTAATTTTCTATGCAATTGTTGTTGAATTGTTATTGTCCTAAAAAAACCCATGTATTTGATAGATTTCCCAAAGACTTCAAAGAGAGCTTTAAATGCTTGAGAAATATGTTTCTAAATATTTCAATCTGACTTTTCCCCCTGCATTTCTTTCCAAATTGCTACTTAATAGGGAACAATTATCTGCCAGATGGGACTCCAGAAAATGACTGTCTTAATTTCAAATCTTAAACTGATTCAGATCCTCATAATTTTTGCACCACTTAAAGTCATCTGACGTTCCGGTTTATCTGCAATTCTGAGTGTTTGTTATTTATGTTCCATATTCCTGTGCAATAGGAAGAGATGCTGATGTTGGGTCTAGATGGGCTGAATTGCAAATTCCTCATCGTTTACATTGCAGTTGTTTCTTACCTGTAAGAGTAAGGCAACACTCTGCTGTCACACATGGAAGGTTATAATTCTTTATTCATCTCAGTTCAGAATGAACAATCCACCTTTTTGTATGTTTGCCATAAGATTGACATCTGTACCTTTAATATCTGCCCCTTTATAAGTGCAGTGGGTGGCAGCTGATAGTGATTTGTTAAACTGCCTGTCAGTGTCTAACCCACTCAGGGCTGTTTAAGGTTTGTTTAGCCATTTTTATTGTTTCTGGGGTGCAAAAAAATATGAGTTAGCCCCTGACCCACATTGCAGTAAATTTCAAATGAAGGTGCTGATGCTGTGAAAGATGATATCAGCTGCAAAACGAGTGGTTATCTGGGGATTGGTGGTTTGAGTTCCTTGTCAATAACTCCCATAAAATAGCAAAATGGAGTAGAAAGTTCTACAATGACTGTCACAAAAATGACTCATGATTTATGTGTTTGTAATAGCCCAGAAATCCACAGATATGCTGTTGGAATCCTCAGCTGTTCCAGGATTGAGCTGCCCTCAGTTTAGTGATGCTGAGCAGCACCTGAGGCACAGGTGGTGTGAGACCAACGGGGAGTGGAGGGACAGCTCAGTATGAACAGTGATGGCCTGACTGGGACTCACAGATCTGTGTGTTTGAGTGTGTGTGTGTAATTCTGAAGTGATTCCCCCTCTGAAGTCCAATCCCCCCGGAGCCCTGCCCTGGATGTTCAGGTAAAGCCATATGTTAACAGACACAGGAGTGAGCATTTGTCACTCAAATCACCCTAACAGATGTCTTTTGAATCAAATTGCTAGTTCAAAAACCTAACTTCCACAACTGAAAAGGGGTTTCTGTCATTCACATTCCTACAACAACGTTGTTAACCTCCAATGTAATGATTTTTTTTTCTATCTGTAAAATATTTTTATATATTGCTTGTAATATGGTAGATTAGCAATAAATGAAAGGGCATCATCTGCTGCAAGAGTGTTTGGTCTGTTCTTAAACACCGTTATTGCCTTTGCTAAACTAATGTCAAGGGGCTGAGTCACCCACTTGATAGTCTTCATGTCCTTGTCACCCTCCTAAATACTCACAAGTGGGATGTGCATAAGGATGTCAGAGTACAGAATATTTCTTCTTTAATGAGTTGCTCAGTTCCCCTTTGCATCAAGATCCCACTCAGGTTCTGTAGATGAGATAGATCAAGTCATACAGGGACAATTTTATGAACTTCTTCATTTTCTCTTCTTGTCTATTTTCACCTCTTTTGATTTTCTATTCCCACCATCCCAATAAAAAGCCCCAAACAATCCACATAACAGGTACTGCAGACTTTCTACCTTAATAAAGAATTAATTTCTATCTGAGTAAATGTCCTTCTGCATCAGTAGATGCTTTTTTCAGAGACTGGGGATGTACTCCATTTCATTGTTGTTCATCTAAATCCTAATCCTACATTTCTCTACTGGAGACACTAAAAGAGACATTTTCATACTGCTGTGCTGGAAGGGTGCCCAGAGCCCATTATGCCTCAGTAAGAGGCGAGTTTATCCAGCATGCAATTAAAGACATTTACCTTAACAAAATCAATATTATCCTTTGCATTTAAAACCAGAGAATTCAAACCATATTTGATGCGTTTGCTGGACATGGAGCAAATGCTTTACTTTGCTTTGCTTATTCACAAAAGCCTCGGAGCAGGCACCATGTGGAAGTTCTTAACTCCCAGAACCCTGTACAAAGGCTGGGAAGCTCATAAACCAGACAGGCCTCGCCAACAAAGAAGCTGTTACTGGCTGGGAGAGAACATTTTATGATGAGCAAATATATGGCACACAGGATTTTAGCTTTATTCAGCAGCAGGAAAGTTTAAGTAACTTAACCTGGAAATTCCACAGTTAAGGGCTGAGAACCCGAGCACCTGACCCGATCCTCTGGCTTTAATTTATGTCTTGGGTCAGAATTGAAAGACTACAACAGTACCCCTGGTTTTTCGTCTTAACGGGAAATTTCCTGGATTTTGTAGACTTAACTCCCTCCTTTGTAACCCTTCAACATAGCTGACTCTTTTCCCAGTTTTCAGGGTAGCAGCAAGGAAGAACAATCCCTGTTTCTAGTGAACATCTGGGTCTCGTATGAGCCCTCTCTCGCTCGCGTGCTCTGTTGTGTAAATATGCGATTTACAACTTCTTTTTCTTTTTTTGAATACAAATGTAATTTAGGCAATTTAAGAAGCTGCCTTTCAGCTTCATACCAGATTCTTTTCTAAATACATCATCACTGACTTGCTCAGGTGGCAAAGCTTAACTGGGCTGCTGTAAGGGAGCTTCACAGGGAAGATGAGCTCCCACCCTACACCATCCTTATCTTCCCTATCCCTGGACCTTAGTTGGACCATCTGCTCCTGTGAACTCATCATTTCAGTGAACTCATATTATAGAGGGGTTTGAATTAGTTTTATTTAGGAAGGGAAGGCCACAGCAGAGGATTTGGGCTCCTACTGACCCTAAGGGCAGCACTGCTGGCACAGCAAAATTGCTGAGATTGTGAGCAACCACTTACCCTAAAAACCCAGGGGAAGGAGGTGATGGGAGAGGCTGGCAGGAGCTGCATGCACACCAATGGGCCAAAGCCAGGCATTGGAGGTGACTGCAGTACAAAGGCACCTCTTTATTCAGCAGACCACTGAAATTATAGCTGAAATCAAGAGGCAGAGTTCAGAGGCAGCCCAGAGCTCGAGGGGCAGGCACTAAAATAAAAACATTATCTGTTGCTCAGATATACACACAAACAGTAAAAGGATGTATTTTTCTGGGCTTTTGCAGTCTATTAGCTGCCTAACTGCCCATGAGAGCTCTGCTCTGCCCGGGGAGTTTGGATGAAATGGACTCTCAGGCCGGGGATGGGCTGTGGGAGCAGCCAGCGTTCACCATACCAGCCTTGTTTTCCTCAGAAACCAAGCTGAAAGCACGGCAGCCCTTCCCAGCCAGCTGCATCAGTCATGCACAACTCTGGGATTTCATGCCATTAAAGAAGTTATTTCTAGGTGTTATTAACTGCTCCAAGGGCTGGGCTGTGCCTGGTAAGAAACCAGCAGCAAGAAAAAGCAGTTTAACTCCTTGTACCCCTGGGCTTGACCTGAAGGTTTAAGTTGGCCTGAGTGTATTTTTCATGGACCCTTTATTTAACCTTATTGAAATATGAGAAGGGTCGTGAAAGCCTTCTCAGCTGTCTGCTTATATCAGCATGAACAGACCACTGAAATCAAAGCCCAGCTGATGTTTAATTTCTAAGCTTTTTCATATTTCTAAGCTTTTTTTAGGCTTCACTAAAGGAAAAGTGGGGGAAGAGACCTTTCCCTTTTGAGTTAAGTCTCCAGTGACCAGTTCAGTCAGGAGCACCTTTCTTTCCTTACTCTTTTTCCCAGTTCTAAGCTCAGTTCTATAAATCAGGATTCATTCTGGCTTCTATACAGGGCTCTTACAAGAAACCATATTGGCTTCATTTACCTTTAAAAAAGATTTTATACCATGAGAAATAAATGGAAGGAATAAATGTAATTGAGCTGTGACCGTGTATCTTACACTGGCAGCACTATGTTAAGAGTTGGACTCTGATCTTAAAGGTCTTTTCCAGCCTGAGTAATTCCATGATTTTCTAGGTTTTGGTGTGGGAATGGGCAGTGTAACACTTTGCCTCACAACACCACCACTCCCTCTCAGCTGCAGGCTGGGGCCAAGCAAAGTTTATAGAAAATGTGCTCTTTATACTGCATGGAGGGTTGTGTCTTTTTTTGTTTTCCCTAGCAAGAAAAAAAGTCTGGGAAAAATGCAGGGAAGGTTTGCTGCTGCACAGGATATCAGTGCCATCTGCAGGGAGCTGAGCTCAGCGCTGGTCCTGCACCACAGCCTCGGGGCAGGGACTCATCTGAGACCCCCAGAGGGAGCAGGAGATGGGCCGACCATGGAAAACCCTTCTCAGGGTGGCCAGCATTTGGGGAGAGGGATGCAGGGTCCTGATGGCAGCAGCAGCACGTGCTGCACCCTCTCACATCCCAGCCTCCCACCCAGCACCGTGTCACGGCTGAGCTGTGAGCAGGTGTCACAGCCACTCTGATCCTCCCCACTCTGACAGCCAAGGACAGCTGAGGCACTGCCAGGCAAAGCTGTTACCCCCCAACACACACCTGCACTTTTCCAAAATCTTGGTTTTCCAGGCTTCCATGCAGTTTGGTTCACCTTGTGCCTGCTCTTTTTCCCTCCAAAGAAAGCAGGGAATTTTCTGGGCCGATCTCCGCTCCCATGTCCCACACAGCAGGCAGGGGGTGATGGTCAGGGATGAGGTCTTTTCTATTACTCACAGCAGATCTGTGAGTTTAACCAGTGTTTGCACAGCAGCTGTGATGACAACCAGGCACAAACCCAGTTATCAGAAGTCTGAGCCCACATCAATACCCACAGCCCTGCTCCCCCAAATTCATGAGGTTTGAGGTGGCTGCCGGCATCTCTTACCGAGGAATGACCCCTGAGGGAGGCTGAGTGCTGCAGGTGAGGGTTGGCTCCCTGGAAGGTGAGCAGCCTCAAGTTCCATGGAATCATCTGGCATGGAAACCGCAGGTCACGTTGACACTGTTGCTGTTGGCACAGCAATCCTGCTACACTAGGAGGAGAAACACCAGCCTGTTTTTCATCTGTCCTTTGTTTCTGATTTATGGATCCCTCTAAAGCAGAAGTGAAAGGTATTCACTTCATTTATGTTATGTGGTAGAAAGTGGGACTTCAAGAATGGCTGAAATCCTGCTGCAAAGACAGCAAATTCCAGGTTTATTTCCATTTCAATGGGTACAACATTTGCATACTAAGCAGGAAGTCACTGAGCAGTTGTTACGAGCAGAAATTCAAGGTATATTTCTACCCTGTAATAACATGGGTTTATTAATCACTGCTCAAACCCAGACCTTGCTGGTTTAGAGTCTGGAGTTGCCCTCTGTGTATTGACATTATACCTGACCCATTTTGCTGCTTCCCTTGTTGTTCCCCTCTGGCTCTACCAATGGCACTATGCCTCAGTAATCCCAGGCAGCAGGAACTGCAGGAGCCTTGGCAGTAGGAAGGGGTGGCACCCAAAAAGAGGGAATCTTGGCATGGTGTAGCTGCAGGAGCCTCTCACCTGGCTGCAGATCTGGCTGAAAACCTGTCAGCACTGGAGGCAAATTGGATTTCATCCCCCTTAGGATCAGGGGCTGGGTCCAGCTGTGGGAAGGAGAGGGATAGGCTGGGGTGAGATGACACAGCAGAGAGAACAGCAGAGCACTGGCTGTGCCACCAGGGCTCTGGCACAGGGACATCAGGAAACCTGCCATGCCTGGCTCTGTCCATGCCCAGTAGTGGCCTAAACTACCCATAAGAAAGCCTCTGGCACAGAGTCATCCAGGTGCCAGACAAGCTTCTCTCTCTACCCTGTACTGTCCCTACCTGGGGTGTTGTTTAAAGCCCAGTTCATTCACCTGTCCCATTTTTTTGCCACTCATCTCTGTGCAATTTTAAATATCCCCCTCCAAGATGTACAAACAGATAATAGCCCTCAGGGGAGGTGCTGCCCATCAGCAGACACAGAACCACCCACTGAGAGCACTGAGTTTTCCCAAATCTTTTTTTCCCCCTTAGCTGCTAAAAGAGAAGAGGGGGAAGAGGGAGAGTTCATAGACAAAGTATATTTCTTGGTTGCTGAGAGACTTCAAATCTCCCTAATGAATAAACACAGTGCACTTAATTTTGTTTATGAAAACAGACTTATTGTGATGGCAAAAAGATGAGTCAGTGCCCTGGGTGAGGGGAGAGCAGCAGCTGGAGACACTCACCGAAAAGCAACGCCTCGGAAACCAGAGCAGCTCTCGTGTCCAGCAGAGCCAAGAGATGCAATTTCTCCTCTAACAAGAACCACCAGGACACAGGGAGTGGGAGAAGCTTCCTCATGACCTGGCAATTGGCTGCTGAGCAAGTATTGCCATGAAAAGCAGAGGATTTGTGAACAAGCAGAGGACACTGCACATCCTACTCCCACCCAGCTCATCCTGAGGATGCTCCTGGAGCTGGACTGAGCCTGGCCTGGGTCTGGGCTCCTGGGGAACAACTTCAGAGCTGCTGCTGGTCCCTCACTGAAACAGAGCACAGAGACACCAGGGAAGGTGTAGATTTGAGCCCCTCAAGCAGGAGGAATCGCTGACTCCAAGAAGCACATTCCCCATCCGTCTCTGCATCCCCTCTGATGTTTTTGGCTTTTTTTTTTGATAAATATGAGTGAAGGGGGATCTGAATCTGTCCCTGTCACTTTACGACCAGGTGAAGCCTCCTGAGGCTTCACATAAGCAGGTGCAACATGAACATTATTTCCTTTAAATAATTTTACTGTCTATAGAAAAGTCTCATCATTAGAGTGACTTCCCACACAAGTCCCATCTTCCCAAGATGTCCAAAACACACCCTGCCCTGTGCCTGTGAGGAGCCCTGAGTTGTCAAACACATTGTCCCCCTCCCTGCAGCACTGGGTGACATGTCACCCTGCCACCAAGCACCCCTGCAGAGCCAGGCTGGTCAGATCTTCATCTGGTCCTCAGCACGTTGCTGGCACTTCATAAATAACTCCAGCCCTTCCTTCAGATCATGGGCCTGTTGTTTTCCCTCCTCAGTTTCACTGATGTAAATCTGCCACGTCTGCACGAGCTGTGGTGATGAATGACCCTGAATAAGGACCCACTCAGCCAACTCTCCCTGGACAGAGCCCCATTGTGTGCTGGGGGGTAACACACAGGGCTCTGTTCAAACAAAATCAGCCCAACACAAGTTCAAGACTTTTCCTTCCTTCCTTCAAAAAGAATTGAAAAAAAAAAAAAAAAAAAGAAGCCCGTTTGCTGAAGGCCAAGCATGGAGGAAGGAAAGAAGTTTCAATTAAAACCCTTAAAAGCCTAAAATTACTCAGCTTACATTGGTGCCTGGATCAGATATGTAGGTGAATACACTGGACATAAGCGCAAACCATACCAAGATGAAGGTTTTTAGGCACCACAGAGGTACCACCACTTCTGTGCTCCCTAAAAATGTCCCACAAAGACTGAAATGTGTAAAGATTTAAAATTCTCTGTGTTCTGCTTTCCACATAAGGCAGAGAAGAGCCTGTCCCTGCAGTTACAATCTCTCATGGCTAAAAGACAACAAACAAAAAAAGAAATTATGGATTTTAGCACTGAGTTATCCATTATTAAGGGGCCTTTCAAGCTTTTGCCCTATAGCAGAAGAAATCAAGGGCTCCTGGAGGTTGGACTTTGCTCAACAAACACACAGTTGTTATTTTCAACTATTTAAACCCATTCTCTAACAAGCTAAACTATTGCATCAGTGCTGATAGAGAAAGGATGGGGCTCATGGATTTTCATCACTAAAACTTACACCTTTAGTAAAAAAATCACCAGCTACAGAAAATATACATAAAAGGATAGTAACGCAGAGTGTGTAATACACACCCAGGCTGACCAAGGTGGATTTTTACACTGATTTTGCACTAGCACACATTAAAATACAGGTACAAAGCACCAAGGTGTGACTCTTAATGGTTCACAGTACAACTGTTGTGTTCTATTAGTTGGTTTTACCTTTTATGTTATTTCTTTGTCAGTGTGATTAATGTGCTCTCTGCCTCACCCAGCCAGTGCTCCCCACATTAAGAGGAAACTGCTATTTCAGAGGGTTATTAATTCAGCATTTTGCAACAGTAACTGTATGCCCAACTTTAAAAATTGTTTTCAAAGTGGGTTACATATCAAATGAAGCCTTGGATAAATAAAGGCCATCAAGCAATAAACTGTGTTAGTTACAGGCCAGTACTTTGTGTTACTGTAATTCACAGAAAAACTGTCATAAAAGAGTGAAAACTCTGTAATCCAAGACCTTTTCCTCTTTTTTTTTCCTCGTACCAGACTTGTCCCCTAAAGCTTAAGATGGTTGAATCACAGATGGATCCTTTTCCAGTTCCTTTGAAGTTCCTGATTAAGCAGTGACTTTTCATTATCTTCAATACAAAGCCAATTTCTCATCTGCCACAAGAGCAGCAAATGAAAGAGGATGTGACACCAGCCCAGACCAAATGCCAGAATTTTCCACAGAAAACTGTGGAAATTCCTCTTTGAATTCTCAGAAAAGTCAAACTTTTCAGGTTCCCTGGCTCCAGAGCATGAAGTGGAGGCACCATCTCCCTGCAACTCTGGTTCCATGAGAGCCCACTGGATTTGCCATTTTGCTGTGCTCTGTCTGCTCCTGCTATAGGAAGGTCTTGGCCCTCCTTAAGTCATACACAAGAAATACAAAGAAATAATAGTGAATAATAATTTTCCCATAAGATCCATTTCAAATACTCTATATCCAAAATACTTATAATTCAGGGCAAAAAAAAGAAAATCTATTAAAAACTAATTCTGTGGTACTAAAGTTGGCTCAAACCAGCCCCTTAAAAACAAACAAAAAAAACCCCTAAGCACTGTAGATTAGTTGGCTTTTCACCAACCAGCTCTGATTGAAAATCAAAGGCAGATGTGAGCAGAAAAGCAGCAATTTCAGCTCTCCCAGCAGCCGCCTGTTGTTGGCACAGGCCCGAAAAATATCATTTCAAACTGGTACCGGCTGGACCCGCTGCAGCCTTCGTGGCAATTACGTGGCCAGAGTGTTCCTGCTGTCCCTTCTCAGATAAACAGAGCTTTCTGCAACAGAGGGAGCAGGGATTAAGGCAAAGAAAAAGGACTCAGATGGGAAAGCTTAGTTTCCTTACATCTAAGGGGTATGTGTGCAACTCAGCATGAGGAGTGAGAGCTTTAGCCAGGAAATCCATCTTTTGGCTAGTCCTTGAGAATGCCTGGATGGGGAGAGTCCTCTTGCACAGGGCAAAGGGGCTCCATCACCCCAAACTGTAACTACCATCCAGAGAACAGCAACAGGCTGGGGAAGGGGAAGGCAACAGACTGAACAGCTTTAAACTCCTTTAAAATAGAAATGAAGAAGAAAGAGAGAGTGTGATGATAAAAGATGTTTTGTGCTGCGCTGGCAGAGGAGCAGAATTGATGATGTGATGAGTCAGTTCCCTCTCCAGCATTAACAACCCTCCACATGCCTCTTCCAAAAGCAGCCTCTGTTCGGGGTCCCTGGCTCCAACATCAGCAACACTTTCCTTGGGACAAGGATCTGTCTGCTCTCAAACTTGACTCTTCTAAAACCACCACTGCACCAGGACAAAGGATTTCAGGGCTGGAGGGGCTGCCTGTCTTCTGGGCAAGAGAGAACGTTTTGTATCAAAATACATTTCATGTGAATGATCCTATTTATGGTACAAATTTCAGCCTATTCTAGCTTGCTATACCCAGAAATACAAAGAGAATTAAACTTGAAGAAGT